TGCCAGGCTCAGAGTTGGGGGGGTACCCCCAGGCCACAAGGGCACGTGGCTTGGGGCTGCCAGACTATAACTTCTCAAATCCCATTGGCCAACGCAAGTCACATGGCCAAGGCCTGCACCAATGTGCTGGCCAGGAACTGTCCCACCTCCCGTGGGCGGGGCCAGCAGTCACCCTGTGGGGGGGCAGGTCTGACCTCTGCCTGCACTTTCCATCCAAAGCCCCTCCCCTTCCTCCCTGTCACTCACCGGGAAGTGCCGGTCCTCTGTCCAGGGCCCTCCGCGGGCAGGGCCTGCTGTGCCATTTTTTTGTGACTTTACGGTTTGTGAAAAGACTCAACATGTGATTTACCATTTTCAAGTTCGGAACGTCATCTCCGCAAACTGATGCCCTGTCCCCTCTGGACGACAGCTCGCTGCCCCCCCAGCCCCGCCCCCCGCCGGTCCCTGGAGCCCCCCACTCACTGTAGCCTTGGGCCGTCCGACCTGTCTGGGGCTGGTGTTTCTGGACGTTGGTAGTTGGGTCTGAGGACTCGGTCGGGGTGAGGTGTGGGGTGTCGGTCGTGCCCGTTGTGGTGAGCGGGTGTCCATCAGGCAGCCCAGAGAGCCGCCCTGACCGCATCCAGGCGGGAGTCAGAGCTGGGGGTCAGGCTGCAGAGTGGACCCACCCCCAGATCTGGGGGCTGGGGGGCTGGGGCCCAGGTCCAACGGTGGCTTTGGGGGCCGCCATCCTTGTCCCGGCAGCTTTGCAGCCTCGCAGGCAGCACTGGGGTTGGCACGCAGGCAGCTCCAAAGGGCAAGGTCTGTGGCGGTCACTTTCCAGCCCTCCCCCGTGCGGGCTCCTCAGCCCCTCCCGCCCTCCCCAAGCGCTTCCTCTTCCCAGGAGTGTGAGGAGCGTGGCCCTGCTCCCACGGGAGACCTCGTTTCACCCCTCCACACACTGACACCCCAGGCCCTCACCTCAGCCTTCGGTCATCTGAGGCAGAGCTGCCAGCCCGGCCAGTGTGGCTCAGTGGTGGAGCAGCGACCTATGAACCAGAAGGTCAAGGTTCGATTCCTGGTCAGGGCCAGGTTGTGAGTTTGATCCCCAGTAGGGGGCATGCAGGAGACAGCCGATCAGTGTTCTCATCATGGATGTTTCTGTCTCCCTCTCCCTTCCTCTCTATGAAATCAATGAAAATATATTTTAAAAAAGAGCTGCCAAGGGGCTGTGCCTGCCATTCGAGCTGAGACGGGTTCCTCAAACATCCACACACACGGGCCCGGGATGCCCAGCGAGCCAGGATGGAGCAGTGGCATGGACATTTGGGCCATGGCCTCAGGGAGGGGCTGGCCAGACACCAGATCTGGGCAAACGGTGCCCCCCCTCTTGGGAAGAGGCCCCCAGAGATGAGCCTGACCCCTGGGGACACCTGCCCTGGGCCCCCTGCTGGAGGCGGGACCCCCGGCCACAGGGGTCAGCGTGAGCAAAGGCGCACAGGCCAGGCGGCTGCGTGGTGCCACAGGCCTGTGGGCTGCCCACAGGGGAGTAAGGGGCGTCGTCCCGTCCCGGCTCACGGGCCCGCCCTCTCCCTCCCAGTACATCGACGCCATCAGCAGCAAGCAGGGCGACCTGGAGAACTACGTGTCCGACGGCTACAAGACGGCGCTGACGGAGGAGAGGCGCCGGTTCTGCTTCCTGGTGGAGAAGCAGTGCGCCGTGGCCAAGAACTCCGCCGCCTACCACTCCAAGGTGAGCTGCGCCTGCAGGGCCACTTCCGGGGCCAGAGGGCGGGGCTGTAAGGACAGCGGCCAGGCCAGAGGCTGCGGTGCCTCTGAGGCCAGTGTCGGTGACAGGCTCGGAGGGGTCAGCTCCCGGGAGGGGCCACACTGCCAGGAGCCCTTGTGGAGGCCGCTTAGCCCCCAGGGACACAGGCTCCCCTGCAAGGGCAGCCTCAGTGGGGCCCTGTTCCCCATACAGCACAGGCAGGAGCTGGAGCCTTCTGGAACCTTCTGGGAGCTTAGAGCTGGCCGTGGCCTGCGGGTCAGTGGGGTCCGCGCACACGCTCACGCCCTGCTTCATCTGAGACTCAGCTTTGGCCCCCATGGCCTGGCTCGGAGGAGACGTGCCCTCTCCGACCTAGAGGCTCCGGCTGCCGGGCCTGCCCAGGGCACTGTCCTGGGTGCGAAGCAGGGACCGTGCGGACCTGTGTCCTCTGGGAGCAGCGCGGCCTCCACCCACACACAGTGCGCTCTGCCAGTGCCTGCAGCCGGCAGCTGTGCCCTCTGGTGGCGGCCGGGCCCTGTGGCGGGGCCGGGGGGGGCGG